ATGTCCAGGTATTGAAGGATTATGTGTTTCACCATGGGTCTGTATCTGTTGGAGTGACCTCATATGCCTATAATGGTTCAATAGGTCCTTGAATTTTTACCGGCAAGATTGAAACTCTTTCAGGAGTTCTCGAATCCAAGAAAGTGACAGAAAGTCATCGCGATTATACAATTGTACGTTGATAGCGTCAAGCCACACTGGCCTGGAAATCCTCAACCTTTTGTTATAGATTCTCATATTCTTCACATTCCATGCTGCTACATTTACCCTATTCCAGATTAAACTGAAAAGTTGATATCAGCTATTAAACCCTCAAAAAGCATGCCATAATACACCATAATATGATGAACTGCACACAATTTGCACGACTTAATTTCTCCCGCAGTTAGAGGGGACAAATTTTCTCTAAGCAAATCAAATTATAAGGAGGCGGACCACGCAGTTAAATTAATAATTGAGAAGGTCGTGAAGAATCTTCTAAGACCCAAGTCAAATTTGCTTTGATTGTTTTAAAAAATAACTTGGTTGGACTCCTTCTCATTCATAATGTAACGATTCAATCTTCCCACTAACCTCTTTATAACATCAAAACGGGTGCCCATCAATGCTCAAATTTAGTGACAATGAAAACAATTCCTGCCTCCATGTTTTGATATATCCCAGTCATTCATTTATTTCATTGAACAATTTCAGAGAAATAAAACACATATCCAAGTATTGAACGATTATGCGTTTCACCATGGGTCTGTATTTGTTGGAGTGACTTCAAATGCCTATGATGATTCAATAGGTTTTTGAATTCTTGCTTGCAAGATTGAAACTCTTTAAGGAGTTCTCGAATCCAAGAAAGTGACAGAAAATCGTCGCGATCATATAATTGTACGTTGATAGCGTCGAGCCACACTAGCTTGGAAATCCTCACCCTCTTGTTGTAGATTCTCCTATTATCCACATTCCTGCTGCCATATTTATCATATTCCATATTAAACCGAAAAGTCGATACCAACTATTGAACCTTAAAAAAAGTGGACTCATTCTCATTCATAATGTAACGAGTCAATCTCCTTAATAACCTCTTTACAGCATCAAAACAGGGTGCTTATCAATGCTCAAATTCAGTGACAATAAAAACTATTCCTGCCTCCATGTTATAATATATCCCAGTCCTTCACGAATTTCGTTGAACAATTCCAGAGAAATAAAACACATGTCTAGGTATTGAAGGATCATGTATTTCACCATGGGTTTGTATCTGTTGGAGTGACCTCATATATCTATAATGGTTCAATTGGTCCTTGAATTCGTGCTGGTAAGTTTGAAACTCCTTGAGGAGTTCTCGAATCTAAGAAAGTGACAGAAAGTCATCGCGATCATACAACTGTACATTAATAGCATCGAGTCACAATGACCTGGAAATTCACAACCTCTTGTTATAAATTATCTTATTCTCCACATTCCATGCTGCCACATTTATCCTATTTCAGATTAAACCGAAAAGTCGATACCAGCTATTGAACCCACAAAAAAATGAGTTTGAAAGAGGCGGCGTTAGCATACCATAAAGCACCATAATGTGATGAACTGCACACAATTTGCATGGCTTACTTTCTCCTGCAGTTAGAGGGGATAATTTTCTCTAAGCAAATCTAATTGTATGGAGGCGGACCATACAGGTAAATTAATAACTAGGGAGGACATGAAGAATCTTCTAAAACCCAAATTGAATTTGCTTTAATTGTTTTCAAAAATAGCTTGGTTGGATTCCTTCTCATTCATAATGTAACGATTCAATCTCCTCAGTAACTTCTTTACAACATCAAAACAGGGTGCCCATCAATGCTCAAATTCATTGACAATGAAAACAATTCCTGCCTCCATATTATAATATTTCCCAGTCATTCACGAATTTCGTTGAACAATTCCAGAAAAATAAAACTTATGTCCAGGTATTGAAGGATTATGTGTTTCACCTTCGGCTTGTATCTGTTGGAGTGACCTCATATGCCTATGATGGTTAAATAGGTCATTGAATTCTTACTGGCAAGATTAAAACTCCATGAGGAGTTCTCGAATCCAAGAAAGTGGCAGAAAGTCGTCGTGATTATACAATTGTGCGTTGATAGCGTTGAGCCATACTGGCCTGGAAATCTTCAACCTTTTGTTGTAGATTTTCCTATTTTCCACATTTCATGCTGCCACATTTACCCTATTCCAGATTAAATTGAAAAGTCGATACCAGCTATTGAACCCTCAAAAAAGTAAGTTTGAAGGCGGTGGCCTTGGCATGCCACAAAACACTATAATGTGATGAACTGCATGTAATTTGCACGGTTTAATTTCTCCTGCAGTCAGAGAGAACCAATTTTCTCTAAGCAAATCCAATTATAAGGAGGCGGACCACGCAAATAAATCAATAACTAAGAAGGTCGTGAAGAATCTTCTAAGACATTAGTCGAATTTGCTTTGATTGTTTTTTGTCCTGACAATATAAATCCTCTAGAAAATTTTCTATTGTCCTGACAATATAAATATATAGACAGAGGCTGGGAGAGAGGAGATGAGGGAGAGAGTTCAGATCGGCATGGTTAACAAGATTTTTTTTTTCTTTTTTTTAAAAAGAACAAGCGTTTTGAAGAAGATGAACACAGCCGTAATTAACACACACACACACACACACACACACACACATATATATTATACACATGCATATATATTAGGCTCTATGGCGATCTCCACAAAGATATAAACCCTTTAAAGAAACCTTTGTGAGGGTATTATCGTCATTTTACATGGTTGATATTATAGTTATTAATTTATTCAACTGAAGTGAGGGTATTATCGTCATTTATACCACACAGGGATCAATTTGCACCAAATTGATAGTGTAGGTTTTTTTTTACCACACAGGGATTATTTTGCACTATATCAATAGTAGATGGGTTTTTTTTGCACGTAACCTTTTTAAAAAGTGATACTGACGGTTGCATGCACTCGTTGAATTTTACACAAATATATAGTGAACGACCATTGTGACCATCGAAAAATTATTATAAGGTTCGAAATTAGAATTGAAATACAATTAAAAATTAATTAAAACTGACTATCCATTCAAATGTCATTACCATTTAGTATCGAAACATGCAATAATTTGAAAGTTCATGTTGGTCATTCAACTCATCGTTGTACCGAGACATCGCCTGCAATATTGAACTGTTTTCTTCTTCTTTGTTTGTTTGTTTTTTTTTTTTTTTTTTTTTTTTTTTTAACTTTAAATAAAAGATTATGCAGTTATGGTTAATTTGTAATAAGGAGGGCATGCCATCTCTTCATCTATTGTACTGAATGTTTTTTATTATTATTATTATTTTTTTTTCAGAATTTATTGATCGAATGTTTATTATTTTCAATGAAATCATGTTATTTATGAAAAAAAAACAAGGGTAAAGAGTCAAGTTCCTAATGTGAAGAAAACGTATATAAACTTGTAAAGTTAGGGTATATTATACTTTGTGGGAGGTTATTATAATGTAGGTATTTTATATCATCAACCTTTATTCGTGATCTCATCTCTCCTCGGGTTTGTCCATATATCTCCCGTAGGGGTGGCAACAGTTGACACGACTTGAACACGACATGAATTAAACGGGTTTGGATTGACCTTAAACAAGTTTGGGTCATAAATGGGTTGACATGATTAACCCGTTTAGTTAATCGTGTCGTGTTTGGGTTGAGGGGTTCAACCCGTGTAACCCGTTTATACACGTTTAACTATATATGTCGTAAATAATTTTTTATTAAAATTCTAAAATTACTATATAAACTTATATTTTATAATTTAATCTTTTGTAAACTAGAAACTATTTAGTAATTTAGTTGATTAAAACTTATATTTTTTTTTAGTATTTATTACTTTATTGAGTATTATTAATAGTTTAAGTAATATATATATATATATATATATATATATATATATATATATATATTTGTGAATAGGTTATTAAACGGGTTACACGTGTATCCGTTTAATAAATAGGTCGGGTTAGTGTTGAGAGTTTTTGACACGATTATTAAACCGGTCGTGTTCGGGTTGAGCTGTTTAGTATAATACCCTTAAGTTGACACGACACGATTACGAACTACGAACACAAATTGCCACCCCGAATCTCTCGGATGAAACTTTTGCCAAAAACTATCTCTGACCTCCCCAACTCAATTAATTGAATTAATTATAATAGTGAAAGTATTATTTTACCCTTCATCTTTAATCTTTTTCTTTTCTCCTCTCCTCATCCAACCCAAACCCACAACAAGACCGCCACCGCCTCACTCCACCGTACCACCTTCTTTCTCTTTCTATACTCTCTGAAATCACCATTGGGTTCTAGTTATCTTGGGAACCTAGTTATTTGTTTATTTTCTATGTGTCTTATTTTATTTTTACGTTTTAAGTTATTTGGTAAATAATAGTTATAGTCCTAGTCTTTTTAAATAGTCATGTGAGTTTTTAAGTAATTTGGAGGGTTATGATTTATTAGTTTTTGAAGTAATCAAGGGTTTGGAGTTTGGATGCTAAGGTTGTTGTAACCCTTGTATAAATAGTCTATTAATTAAGAGACTTTGTATGCAGTTTTTTTATGCCAGAAAATTAGATTTAGAGTTTCTCTTTGGTTTCTTTGCCCCAAAATTCAACTATCTACGTTACAACTTCAATTTTGTTACTTATTTCTCTCTTTTTCTGCTTGTTTATTGCTGGAAATCCTTTTCTTTCGTGGTTTTGCACTGTTATAGTTGCCGGACAACAACTTATTGCTACTGCCCTGCACTAAATTGGTATCAGAGCCGAAGAAAAACCCTAGGACTACACTATGGTTAGACGTGGTAGAGGTTATGGAAGAGGAAACCAAGCCCAACAAACAGAGATGACTGAGATGCGGCGTACAATTGAAGATCTGTCAAGAGCGGTGTAAGATCTTCAATGATAGGAACGTGCAGAAGCCCGTATGGAGATTCCAGAAGTCAACCGTGGCCCCTTGGACATATCGGAAGGTAATCTTCAGGATAAATATTTTGAAGAAGAAGAAGAAGAAAACCCCTTTCATAATGCTAGATATCCAGAAAATCTGGATCACGGTGAATTGGAAGAGAGGTTGATTCGTGTGTTGGATTTGAATGATGGGAAGAATTAAAATTGAAGTTGTTGATTTATATGGAAATATGCACGCTGAAGATTATTTAGATTGGAAGGCAAGCTTGGAGAGTTACTTTAAATAGAAGCCGATAGCAGAAGATAGAAATGTGTTGTTTGTTAAGCTCAAGTTGAAGAGTGCTGCACTTCAATGGTGGGAGAGAGTTGAAGAACAACGTGCTTTGCAAGAAAAACAAAAAATCAACACATGGGAACATATGAAATCAAAATTGCGAAAGCAATTCCTGCCTGTTGATTTATTCAATGGTCTTATATGAAAAGACATGTCCGTTGAAGAATATACATCTGAGTTTAATAATCTTTCAATTTGAGTTGGTTTAAACGAGAGTAACGAACAATTGACATTTCGTTATCTCTCTGGTTTGCATCTGTGCATTAGAGTTGAGATGGGGGTGGGCCATTTCACTACAAGAAATAAGGGTTTTTATGACATGTTATCTACGGGTACTAGGGATGACAACGGGGGCGGGTTTGGGCGGGTGTACCTTCCCCTGCCCCCGCAACCGTTTAAAAACCTGCCCCCGTTATCATACCTCTCGATTCTAGAGCCACAGGTGATCAAGTCCGAGCACAGATCCGAGGGATACCAAACAATTAATATGTAAATAAGAACAAAATAATAATACGCTGAAAGAATTCTAAATTAAAAGTCCTCAAAATTATATAATTAAAATCCAACTTATTCAAAATCTTCAATATCTGTACAACTCGGGAATCCATCTAGTGGACCCCTAATAAAAAACCAAACTGTAAAGAAACAACTGAAACAAGTCCAAAGCTAAATATGGAAAGTGATCCTACGTAATTAGAGGAATGAGTGTCTGTATCTGCTCTGCACGTCCAAGCTCTAACCCTGGAACTAATGAACACCTGAAAAATAAGAGAGTGGGTCAGGCCCACATGCAAGTCCTATCCTACTACGATCCATACAGAAACCCGATACGCAGATATATCCTAGATAGCTCAACAATAACTAGAATAGTCCATATATGTATAAGTACACATTATAAAACGCTCACTAGTCTAATAGGTCTGTCTCTGTCTGAGTAGAGATACCATGCAAATCGCACATAATGTGGTCATGTGTACCTAGACCTACCAGGGAACAACACCTATGTCCAGTTATCCATCCTAGGCGATATACGTACCCTAACCATGGTCCTGAGACTCAAGCTCATACCATGGCACCATAACATAAATATATAAAGTCCGTTCAAGGTGTGTCATTCAAAAGGTTTATTAACCTGACACATAGATATAAGTAGGACTTAACTTTTGTAGTTAATCTATCTTATTTCAGAATAGGTAGGACTTAGTGTTTGAACTAATCCATCCCCAATATAGGTAGGTCTCATTGTTTTGAACTAAGCAGTCCCTAATATGCCACCGTCCCATACCGATGCATAAACATCCATATAAGTAGGACTTAACTTTTTATAGTTAGTCCAACTTATTCCAAAATAGGTAGGACTTAGTGTTTTAATTAATCCATCCCTAGTATGCAACCGTCCCATACCGGTACATACAATCCTCTAAATAACATAATTGTTAAGACAATAATTATTATTTATCAACCATTAGCCAGGATATGCATAAATACAGTTTAATACATATATCAGAACATTATGCATTCGTACAGAATCTAAAAATCACATTCCAACTATTTAAATTGCTAAAGTGAGTCATAGCATTTAAATTTTCTATATAATCCATAAATTGATACAATTAACAGAACATATATATCAATTTATTCCAAACCAAGCATAAAATTATATATAATTATAACTCTGTTTAAATATAATTAAACAGTATAAAATTATATATAACAGAAGCTCTAAATCCTAGCAAGTAATTTAATTAACCACAACAGTGTGCAGTCTACAGCTTTTTCCATAAATCCATCTTGCTCCATTCCCTAATCCAATTATGAATTAATATTTCTCCATACTATTACAGGTCTATAACAGGCCCATACACCATTTAAAACAGTTTAAACGAAATAAGGAAACCCTGTACAGTCTAAATAGCCCCTAAATACCAAAACTGTGCAATTTAGGGCGAAAGCAGGCTTTCTAAAATTGAGAGCCTGCTCCTAGATGTTGGGAGCCTACTCTTACATGTTAGGAGCCGGCTCCACACTCCTTGGAGCCGGCTTCATCAGTGAGGGAGCTGGCTCCCTCCTTTTGGGAGTATGCTCTCTCACTCCCGAGAGCTGTTACGCGATTCTGCTTCGTCTTCTTCATCTTCGGCTATACTCAGGCCTCTGTAATAATTTTAAATACTTATTCTAGTGTTCATTCAATGTCCCAGATTATTTACAAGACATCATTATGCATTAACAACATCAATTACACAAAGCTTACAATCAAGAACAGAAAGATTCAGTTTGAAAACTTAAAGAATTATCAAACCAGTTTATTCCAACGAGCCCAATTACAGTTTAAACATGCCTCAAAGATATATTTTAGCATTAATTAAACCCCTGGAGTCTACCTAGGCATGCACAGAACACAAGTTTAAGGAAAATAGTTAGAATAGAGACTTGCCTTGAATTTCAGTTTTGAAACTCTAAACCACCGTCTCTGAGTTTTCCGACCACCTTCTAAACTGCCGTTCCACTCCTCCGTTGCTCTTGGTTCAACCCAGAAGCACTCCGTCCTGTCCTCCTTGAACCCCTCTGTTTATCTCTCAACTTCATTCTCTGTTTCTCTCAAGTCCTTCTCTCTGTTTCTCTCTGCCTTTTACTACGTGAATAGGGTTTGTTGTAACCCTACACCGACGTATAATAGTGTGAATAGGGTTTGTTTGTAACCCTACACCAACGTATAATGTTGTATATATAAGCTTCACTATAAACCTAATTATAATTCTAAAGCAACTATAAGTCGGCTAACACACAATGTCAAAACACCAAAACCCTAATAGTAATCCATTTACCGTATTTATATAATTAAACCAATTACGTTAATGAAAGAAAACTAATAATACAATTAATTCAATTATAGAAAAATAAAAATACAATTAACTAAAACAATTCAAATAAACAGGCAAAATAAATAAATAAACAAATAATCAAATTTAATAAAACAATTCAAATAAACAGGCAAAATAAATAAATAAACAAATAATCCCATCCAAATACAAATAAAACAATTAATTAAATACCAGGACTATCCTTTTAAAATTAGGGGTATTACACCTGTCTCCGTCCCTGCCCAAAACCATAAAAACGGGGAGACTTTCCACCCCATTCCCGCCCACGTTTAACATTTTTACCCCCGTGGGTACCTGCCCCTCCCGGTTTAAGATCATAATTTTTTTATTGTTGAAATAGATTTACTTTTTTTTTTTTTTTTTCCCTCATCTTTAGTTCTTCACCATTGTAACTTTCCTTCTAATAAAATTCATTTGTTACTTTAATATTGTTATATAGGGTACTTAATATATATACTGAGAAATATATATACTAATGAAATAAGGGTACTTAAGTAATTTGCCTATCTAAACGGGGCGGGACTAGGCGACCTCCCCCCCGCCCCCGCATCAAACCCGCTCGGGTTTTTATTACATCAAATCATCCTCGTCCAAATAAGCTAAATGGTCTCCCAAAATCGCAAAAAATGGGGCGGGGCGGGGCGGGGTGGGTAACCGCGGGAACAAGTCAAATTGCCATCCCTAATGGGTACTTTTGTTTTGTCTCGTAAAATGCAGTTAATTTTTACATATATTAACAGCGTTTTAATCAAATTTTAACGGGGATAAAAAAGCTCTCATTGATAAATGCTAAAAATTACACCCTAACGACATTTTTAGTCCCTCGTAAAAGAAAAATAAAATTTCACTCCCAAATTTTCCACTCCCATGCTCGCTGAAGGCACATTCGCCATCCCCTCCCCCCCCCCAACCCTCTCATATGCTCATTTCCTAGCTAATTGAAAAATAATTTCTTCACTCTACACAAAAGCTCTCCCGATTGCCCATTTACAATTTCTCTCAAGAAGAACAAGTTCTCTCTCCACAATAGCCACTATCTGTATCATTCTTATATATGTCGATGATGTTCTTGTTGCTGGAAATAGTGATGGTTATCACAACACTCATCAAGAAGTGAGTCATTTGTTTGCCATCAAAGATCTTGGCTCTTTGCGTTATTTCCTTAGAGTGGAGGTGAAGCCTTTTTCTAGTGGTATTTTCTTTTCTCAAACAAAGTATACTAAAGACCTTCATCGAGCAAGGATGATTGAAAGTTCTCCTCTCAACACTCCCATGGTCATCAAGGAAAAAGCAACAACCTCGGACCATGATCCAGTTGATGTTACAAGCTATCAAAGCATTGTTGGCGCGTTACAATACCTCACATTTACTCAGCCGGCCGATATTATCCATGCAGTCAATAGAGTTTGTCAAAATTTCAACAGTCCTACATTGGTGCACTTAAAGGCAGTTAAACAAATTTTGAGATATTTCAAAGGTACTCAACATTATGGGGTTAGTTACTTAGCCAAAAGTCCAATTTCTTTTTATGGTTTTTGTGATGCAGGCTGGGCAGGATGTCCAACCACTAGGAGAAGCACTACCGAATTTTGTACTTTCCTTGGAGCAAATTGTATTTCATGGTGTTCTAAGAAACAACCTACAGTTGCTCGTTCAAGTTCTGAGGCGGAATATCAGTCTATGGCTTCTACAACAGCCGAGATAACTTGGTTGACATTTTTGCTTCAAGACATTGGCATTTCATTGTTTAAACCTCCACAATTGTTTTGTGATAATGTTAGTGGTCTTCATATGTCTGTTAATCCTATGTTTCATGCTCGGTCTAAACACATTAAGTGTGATTATCATTTTGTTAGTGAGAAGGTGGCCATGGGAAATCTCATTACTCGGTACATTTCATCCGCCTCACAGCCAGCTAACATTTTCACAAAACCACTGCCGAATGACTCGTTTTCTTAGTCAACTATAGTTGTCACATGCTTTCTTATTCCTTAAATAATTTTTACATTCATGTAATTACAATTGTGATTAATTTTATAATTGTATAAACACTCAATGAAAAAGTGCGCTTCCACAATATTCCTTTTCTTCAAAAACCTTCAGACAGTTCAGTATCATTCGCTTCAGCAGAAATAGGTGACTCAAAAAGACTATATATAGTATAAGGTCAGATCAAGTATCTAACAAAAAAAAAAAAAAAAAAAGAAGAAGAAGAAGAAAAATCACATAACCCAGAACGAGAACACCAATAAGGATCTTCATGCTCAACGATTCATGACTGTATCAGCTTTTAAACAAATTACCGAGGACATGAGCCATGGGGAACTTACTGAATGAGATCCAGAAACATTGTAGCCTCTAGCATGTTATAATATATATATATATTTATATGTGTTGTGTTTTTAGAGAGTACGATAGAGAGAGAACTTTTTATCTACTTTCTGGCAGTGGCGGCCTGGAAGAGTGGGAGGGGTTTAAAGAAACTTGTTTTATTTTTCTTTTGGTTGATTTTATGTGCGTATTTGAAAAACAGTTGTCAAAGTAGGGGAAATCACGTGTGCCATACCCCTGTCCTTTTTGTGCACCCCTGTTCTTCTCTCTCTCTACATACATATGTTTGCATATGTACATGTATAGGTAGAGAGAGAGAACGGGAATGGACTATTAGATCGATAGAATGGACTATTAGATCCATATTGTCGCAAAAATTACCAAAAGTAGCAAAGAATATTGTTGGTAGAAAGCAGATATTACACACAGGAATACATTGTATGTGTGTTGCGGTCGTAGCAGTAATTTTATAGAGAGAGAGAGAGAGAGGATGATGAGAGAATTTTAGAGAGAGTTGAAAAGATACAAAAAAAAAAAAAAAATTGGTGAGGAAGAAGAAGTGAATTTGAATCAAACAAAAGAGGTAGAAGTGGTTTGTCTTACATACCTTAAAAAGAAAAAGTTAAATTTTCCCTCCTCCTCAATTGAAATCTTAACTTTTTCCTTTTAAAGTCCTCTCAATTTTCTTTCTTTTTTCTTTCATTTTTCTTTCTATTTCTACTTCTTAAAATTCTTATATGTGCACATTTGAATAATTTTCTATTTCTTCTTCTTCTTTTGTATTTTATATTTGTTATGTGATATATATATATATATATATATATATATATATATATATATATATATTTTGCACGGTGCCTCCTAACTTGAAATTGAAATCCTTACTCCGTCTCTGGGGTCACCCATTTTGACTAGGAGTGTACATGGTTTTGGTTCCTACAGTTCTTAGCGGAATCGGAATTGGTTCTAACGGTTCCTAGAAAATGGAATCGGAATTGTAACCGTTGGGACATGGAACACCGGTTCGGTTCGGTTCGGTTTTGGTTCCTTGTTTCTTGTGTTTTTTTATTTAAATAATAATAATAATTAAGGACTCTAAACCCATTTGTAGTGCATTTTAATATATAATATTGTACAACATACTTTTATTATATATATCTCTTTGTATGCATCAATACACATATATATTAACAATTATATAATTAAAAACATAATATTTATAATTACTTAACAGTTCCTAAAAATTGGAACCGGAACCGATGCACCGGTTCGTTTCGGTTCTACAAGTTATTTTCTCACCCCTAATTTTGACCCATATTTTAAAATGATTCACCCATATCCAATGGAAAACCCTATGAGAGAGTACAAACTAGCCTTAAACCCATTGAAGGTAAATTAAATAGAGCAAGCAAATTCTTCAGGTGGTTCAACTTATGAGGATGTATCATGTATTTGGTCTCATGGCTAGGAAGTTTAAGAAATACGTCGTATTTGAAAGAAGAAATATTTCGAAGTAAAAGAACGTGGAGGAGTATACGAAAACTGAAATAATTTGTAATTTGTTGGGCATGTGGTATGGGGGTGATAATTTGTGTTTGCGTGTTATAATTGTATTATAATTGTGTGAGGTATTACATTAATTCGATCAATCTGAACACAGAAACACGACAAATGGAACCTCAATATTCCAAACACGTTAAATGGGTGACATAACACAACACGTATAAGACGGAACAAGACACAACCTGTTTAATGACCTGCTTAACCTATTTACTAAAACCAAACATTATAATTAAATAATAAATATTAAAAATATATAAGTTCTAACTTTCAATCCAACTACATTATTAAAATATTCTGGACTCTCTAGTTCAAAAGAGACAAAATTAAAAATACAGAACCAAATATTTAACTGAGAGAAGAAGAAGAACAAACTAGAAAATCCTAATCTTCATCTTCATGCTCTGTCAGCTCTTTTTTGAAACTCTTTTGCGTATCTTTATCTTCACAAAATGGACATCCACATTCGGCTGCAAAAACCAGAGAAAACCCTTTGATGAAAAAACATGCAAAACAGATAAAAGTGTAAAATATAAACCATATGGTTAGCTACTAAATAAAACAATAGCAACTTGCATTGTGAGGTGTAAAACAGATGTGAGAGGGCTTTTTTTATAAGCTTTAAAATTTCAATTTCTGCCACTAAAGAACAGTGTGATTACCTGCTAAAGAACATTGAGCTGAACATGCATAGTCCCTTGACAATGTGAGCCTTTGACTCTATATAAACTAAGAAGGTAGCGCTAGTTTTATTAATATTTCTTCTTGCTTCAAAGGTTAATAAATCTCTCATCTTGACCCCTTACTATTATTATTTTTTTCAATTTATAAGAAATTGCTTGGAAACATATTTCATGACCAGACAATTACTGGACTAGTGACAGGCATGACAAGGGTCAAGCGTCAATTAGATCAGAAGTAATTTATATTTGATTATTAAGTAACTATCTGATAATTAGGTAAGAGTTGAAATCACAAAGAGAAGCTCTTTAAAAATACAAGCTCAGAGTTGAAACTAGTCATACGACCGGTGAAGATGGTGCTAGCCATGATTCAGACATGCCATATCATGTGAACAAGTGGATGCATCATTGGCACCATATGTCAACAAATTTTAAGAATTCCAACTTTTATGTGGTTGGATAGGAAAGAACCACATTAAAGATAAAGCAAATAATACATAATTTTCTGTAGGAGATATAGAGTTGTTAACAACACTCTTTCCAACAGTGGAAGTAACCAAGAAATAGTATTGTCTGCAACGTACTAATGTAGTAGTAAACAATTATACCTGCAATTTTTCTGAAAATTGGAAGATAATTTCTATCTGGCAACTAATAATGTAATCTCCACCCGCGGGCTATGAAACTTACTCGGCACATCCTTTACCTCACCAAGATCTTTCTTTCAGTAATCCCCTTCCATTATCTCCCAGAGTACAAAGAATTCCTCTCATCTCCTCCACCATCTGAGTCACTTGTGCTCTCCTTTCACCAGATAGCCAATAGTCATCTGGATCAAGCATGTTTGGAATCTCTCAGGCACATCTCTCGATTTGACAAACCCCCTTACTAATCCGCTACAAGTCAGATTCTCCACATAGCGGATTATTAAGGGAGGTTTGTCAAATCGAGAGATGTGGCAGAAATCCTCAACCTCTTGCTGTAGATTCTCCTCCATTGGATTTGAAGTTTTGAAGAATTGAAATGTTAAACCCTGAAAATCTTCAACAAGCACACAAATTAACATTGAGAAAAAAATCCAGAAAATATTTACACTGGGCATTGAGTAGAAGAAAACCTAAAAAATAGGTCTTGTTTGTTATTAACGGTGTTTACACTATATTGAACAACAATGTGAAAATAACCCAGAAAACATTTAAAAACCAAGACACACATCAACATTGTAAAGAAAAAACAAAAACCAGAAAACATTTAAAGAGTATTTACACCATATTGTCTCGTTGTTCTTGGATTCACACCAAAGTTTGAAGAATGGGAAGATTAAACTCTTAAAATCTTCAACAAAGACACATACGAAAGAAAAAATAAATAAATAAATAAAATAAATCCAGAAAAAAATATATATATTAACATATATAATATCATTAAGAAAAAAATGAATTTACATTTTTGGGTAGGGATTGAATAATAATAAATTTACATTTTTATTTAACAAGATTTAAGTTTTTTACAGTATAGCTAAAAGATTCCAAGTTGATATTATATTAGTTTAAAGAGAAAATAAGTTGAATTTATTTTCACTCTCTATTTTTGGGCCACTAAATAAATATTTTGAAAATATTTTGGGAGGTCAAATTAAAATTTATTATGAAATTTTGAACAATAAATTAAGTTTATCTACAATAAAATTATTTTTTGGGGGCTACTAACTTTCTATTACCTTTAACTTTCTATCTAGACAATATACCCTTAACTTTCTATTTATATTTTCGGCCTTTTTATTCTATGGAAGTCAAAGTTCAATAGAAAGATGATAAATGAGTCTAAAGGCTATTTATTCTTCTTCTTATTTTTATTTTTTAAAATTCTTTAAGTGCTAGTTTGGTGTGGTGGAATGAATTGGAATGGAATGAGAATAGATGTAGGAATGGGATGAGAATGGAATGGAATGGTCCTTCCTTTTATTTGAAGGTGGAATGATTTTGATGAAATGACCATTCTCCAAGAATAGTAGGGAATGATGATTCTAACTTTAAAATTGACACCAAACACGAAAATGAAAAAAAAAAAACCATTCCATTTCACTTTCTTTTATTCCATTCCACTGTACCAAACTAGCCCTAAGGGTTAGTTGGGGTGTTGAACAATTATGCAATAGACAGTTGCTTAGAGCATCCACGCCGGGCTCGCGGAAGGCTCTTTTCGCGAGCCAAACGGCCCAGAAGCGTTCCACCAGTCTCACAGAAAATGGGTGGGCCCACAAGGGCTCGCGGGCTGACTCATGGTCCAAGTCGCTGTAATTTTTTTTTTTTTTTGTCTTATTCGTTGCCAAAATGGCATCGTCATTTTTGGAAGAGCTTTTTTCTTTTAAAGGTGCTTTGACAG